AATGCACAATTTTTCTAAGTGACATCTATGATTTTTGGTATGGCACCCAGGCATTTTATGTCATAATCTTTCAAACTGCATTTTTCAAACCTTGATACTCTGTGATCTTCTTCAATTCATTTACTTCTATCCTACTGTCTCCTAGAATTGCCGCATTAATTATCCACACTTTATTATGATTACTTATTATATTTATATATTGCTAGACTCTTGATGACTATTTTGCATACATTACTATCCCACTATAAGTAGTGCTTATATTCATAAAGATATACTAAGCAGGCTATGATATTAAATCTCCACCAAACCATTTCCAATAAAAACTCCTCAACATGCATCATAATCCATTTTATATTAGTTTGTATTTCTAATATTATCAATGAGTCACGCCTGTCCAGTGTAGATAATAGCTAACACTCCAGAAGGTAGGCTTCAGATATATATTTACAGACTTGAACACTGGGTCCTTTCTAATAACATTAAATTCAATGGGAAAAAAGTAAGGCTCTAAATTTTGGCAAGAAAAACCAAATGCACAGGTATGAAAATGCACAGGTACTTGGCTCAATAGTAATAAGTGCAAGAGAGATCTTGGATTCCTAGTGGACAATCACTTAAAAATGAGCCATCAGTGTGCAGCAGTTGCCAAAAAAAGCCAACACAGTCCTAGGATACATTAACAGAGGGTTAGACGTATTAGTACTGCTTTACAATGCCTTGGTAAGACAATACTTAGAATAGTCCATCCAGTTTTGGTCAACCCGATATAAAAAGATGTTGAGACTCTAGAAAGAATGCAGAGAAGATGAAAAAAGATGACCGGAGGCTAAAATATATGAAGAAATGGAATTGGGTATGTCTAGCTTAATAAAAAGAAGGTCTAGAGGTGACATGATAGCAGTTTTTCTATATCTAAGAGGCTGCCACAAAGAAGAGGGGGTCAACCTATTCTCCAATGCACCTGAAGGCAGGGTGAGAAGCAGTGGATGGAAACTAATCAAGGAGAGAAGCAACCTAGATCTAGGGAGAAATTTCCTGGCAATGAGAACAATAAGCCAGTGGAACAGCTTGCCTTCAGAAGTTGTGGGTGTTCCATCTCTGGAGTTTTTCAAGATTGGACAGCCATTTGCCTGGAATACCAGAGCAGGTGGCTGGACTAGAAGACCTCAAAAGTGCTGTCCAACATTGCTATTCTGATACGTTTTTTAAACAAGGTACTACATATATAGGTATACTGGGAATAAATAAAACGTAGGATGCTATATTTCAGGATAAAATTTTGATTTGATTTGATTTGAAGCTTCAAGATTGTATTATGATGGTGTTTATATTTATCCTGGGTACTGATGTGTGATGTTAATTTGAGGATGATAATAGCAATATTTTCAAACCATACAATAAGGAAATATGAAGTTTGTTCAAGATTTTATAACTCAATAAAATGTCTCTGTTTTTGCAGCAGTTGTCTTCTTTATACCTTTTCTAAAACACAGTGATTCCGCAAAAGAATTTTAGTGTACATTTAAGCAAAAAAATAAACGAACACTTTTATTGTGGGGTTTTTTTGAAGGCTCACACTTCATCTGAAAAGAGACACTAATGCATGTTTCACCTGAAAGGGACTTACATGGGTTTTTCTTACTACCAAAACATGAAGTGAATAAGGCAGAAAAGAACTAGGAACACCAGAATTATAGAATACATTTACAGACATTTAGACTTAGTTGATTAGAATGTGTTTTCAAGTTGGGAAGCCATTTAAGTTGCTAAATAAATAAATGAAAGATTTATAAATGATTTATAAATACATAGATACATACTTTTATTTCTTGGTCATATCCTAGGTATGATTAAAAAACAAGCTATTGAGTAATTTTGAAATAAAAAAAACTTGTCCAGATCAATAAGCAAAAATATGCTAAAAAAACACCACATAATCCAACATTGTTGTGTACTTTCCATTGTTTTCACCCTTTTCCCTTAAACAAACTATCTGAACTGAGTTGTCTCTTGCTCCTCTGAAATGCACTTCCTCCCTCCTGGGAATCCAGATCAGATTCCATTACCATCTGTCTGAAGATAAGTTCATCATGTTTCATTTGACAGAACATTCCCCCTTCTACAAATGTACATAGATTCTTACTAGTAGTATATGCTACCAGGTGACTATTTCTCATAAAATCTGAAGCTAAAGTGATTGTAATAAATCACTTGGTTGTCTTGTAAAATAAATATATTTTACTCTAACACATTTGTGATCTCTACAATTTTTTTGACTTTGTTGCCTTGATCTATTTATTTTTATAGAACTGGCAATGCCTTTTCCCCACTCTTGACTCCAAAACAATTTTCTCATGATCATATAGAACAGCAGCCCCCAATGTTCGGGGCAGCAGGGACTGGTTCTGCAGAGAAGGATTTTTTCCATGGACCAGTGGGGGCGTGGTTTTGCAGGCTGCCTGCATTCCGCAGATGGAGCTTCACTTGTTTGCATGGACCAGTTGGCGGCATGTCGTGGAGCAGTGCCAGTCCACAGATTGAGAGTTGTGAACCCCTGATATAGAATATATTAAGCTTCATTGCTTTAGCAATAATGAGTAACACAACATATTATATAATATTGTATTTATATTCTAATATTAACTCCAAGTGTAAACTTTCATTGACTATTATATTAGTTGCATTAAATGTTAAACCAAATGGCAGAGATATACATTGCTGTGTGTTTTAGAGGGATGATAGTAGGAAATTAAATAGATGTATCTTTTGTTACCATGATGTATACCTTAAATGCACATAAAACCTGAAAATTCAGAAAAGGTCTGGAATTGGTAAGTTAATGCCATAAAAACCATTATCCAGGTTATTAGGGTTTAGAGAAAGCACTTAACGAAATTAAATTATTTTTTTTCCAAAATTTTATAACAGTGTCCAAGTTTCATTGCTGAAGAACGCTTTCAACGATTAATAGTCATGGTGTTCTTAGATTCTTAGATTTTTTTTACTTGTACCTAATTCCCTTCCTGATGTTAACTTCTATTCACATGATCATGAATGATAATTAAATATATTCATTAATGTCTGTATAATACATTAAATTAAGTATAGCATTATGCATGGTGTGGTGAAAATCCCCTGCCTCTCTGACATGTATTAAAAACCAGAAATAATGAAACTGTATGGAATGAGAATTTGAAATATTAAAGAAAGCATTTGAATTGAATGCCTTCAAATAATGATTAGAAAATTTATGGGATTATAATTGCTAAAAAAAATTGTGTTTCCATAGAATCTTTGGTTTCACAGCATTATATCACTGGGAAACTATTGTTAGGAGTTGAAAAAAGTGACAAGAAGGATGCTGCTAGAGAAATATATTAGTGGGCTTCTGTAAGCCTCTGGTTGTCTGCTTTTAGATAATGAATATTAAATCAAATTGACCTTAATCAAACAGCGATTCATGCCAAAAGTCTTTAGCTATGTCCTTGACAAAGGAATTTCCAGTTCTTGGGCTTTCATAAAATCAAACACTTTTTGCTTTTCATCATTTTCCACTCTCCCCCTCGCATTTTCATCATCTAACACAATAATTACAATTCTCAAATATTACAGCATCAAGAAAAGAATATAGGTTATTGTCATATTTCAAGTATTACTGGCATGCTACACATACTATTTAGAGAGAGGAAAAAAGAGTTAGACCTTCTAACCGGAAAACTGAATGTATGGAAATGCTAAGTGAAAACTTAAAATCTGATCTAGAAAGAATATATAGATATGGCTTTGTAATACACAAACTCTCTGTTTTTAAAAGCAGACAAGGACTAAAAATGAACTCAACATTGTACCCTGTTGATTTTTTTAAAGACAGAGTGGATATCAGATAGCCTGAAGATTAGGAGTGATGGAAATATTTTGCATGTTCACCAATTTTGTTTGCCATAGGAAAGTAACAAGTAGAATGAGAAAAAAAATAATATCCCACTTCTCTAGATAAATGTAACTGTCAGTGTTGCTGTCATAGACGCCACAAAGAGATGGAAATGATGGCATGTGCACAAATCCCAAGGCTTATGTGCTTGCCTCTGACACAGAACAGAATAGAATACTATTTTGGCCAAATGTGATTAGACACACAACTAATTTGGCCAAGTGTGATTAGACACACAAAGAATTTGTTTTTGGCACACATACAAGTACATCAGGATACAAGTACAAAAAGCTGGATTTGTGTTGTGATGTTGCCACAAACATTTTGCCTTTTTTCCCCCTTTGTTGAAGTTTCTAACAAACACTTATCTATATGTAAACTGAAAGCTCTCATCTCTACTTTAGAGAGAGACAGATATTTTACCTGGGAACTTAGCCAAACCTTTTAATATGCCTGTGTGTACAACGTGAATAAACACACAGAACATATCTTCAGTGAATTTGCCTTTTGGTCTCCGAGAAAGCTTCAGTTGTTTTGCATCAGTATAGGGAATAGGAACTACAAGGGAAGTTCAGTTCTTGCAACCTCTGGCAAATCTCCTGTATTATGCCTGGAAACCTCTTTCATTGAGAAAGTGTGCTTTAAAACAGAACTGAGCCAGAAGCGATGACATTTCATCGACTCCTCTGCTTGCAAATAGCACATTTCATTGGAAATCATTTGTTGAGGGCAGAAAAGTTCTCAACGCACAGCTCTACTCAATACCCAACTGTAGCTCCAATCCTAGGAAAATATTTTTCACCCTCCAAAAATGATCATTGCCATACGGTTTCTCTGTGTTTCAAAATAACAGTACCAGGGAGGCAATTAGCTACAAGCCCAATATAGAAAATTTCAGTAGTGCTTAGCACTGTAACGCTTTTCACAAGGTAAATCAGTTGATAGTGACTGGGGAACGTTCCTTTCTTCTCTCTCTTCCTCACTTAATATTATCACCTAGAAATGTGATATTCTGAACAAAGATACTTAATTGAAACCATAAATCACAGCTTCTTACCTGTGTACCAACTGTTTGCGGCTTACACAAGTGGCTGTCTCGTAGTCATGAGTGACACACACTTTGTGAGGGCTGCACTTTACCTTCAAACACGGATCTTTCGATGGGTCAAGGGCTATGAAAAACAAGACACAAAGAAGTTGTTTAGAAGATTACCCCTTTCATTCAGTCAAAATACGGAGTTAAAAATCAAAACCACTTCTCATCTATTTTTGAAATGCTGTAAGTACTTAACCCATTCGACCTCCCAATTCTGTGTGATGAATGTTCTTCAGATATTGTCATCTGGTCAAGGTCATTCAATGAACTTTAATTAATTTGGGCTTTAAGCTAGCCCTATGCTTCAAGTCAGATTTTACTTTTTCAGAGAAGTTGTGAGCTTTGGTGTTTTTTTTTTGGCAAAAATGTTCAAAAGACATTATTTACCACTGCCTTCTTCCTATGGCTAGACAATGAAATATGTTACATTTTTTTAAAAAATAAGATAGCTCCGGTTTGAAGAAAAATTATCTAATTTTATCATCATCCCAAGCCAAAATTGCAGGGAATATTTTATCAGTTCTACTGTTCAATTTTCTAAGCTTTGGCATCCTAGAATTGCTTTTAACTAATGTTAATAAAGAAGAATGTTTCATGGAATTCCTCAAGCCTGTCATGCATAGAATACTGGCCTGCATAATTTTTTTCTATATCTGTTGAAATAGCAATTACATGCCAAGGTATTAAATAATTACTATTGTATAATTAAATATATAGCAATTCGTGATCCTGAATGTTTAGCAATTTTGTGTTATTAAAATATATGCTTTTCTTCTATTGACATAACTCTCAAATGAACCATAGCATAACATTCCACTTTCATCTAGCGCTAGAACGACACACAAACCTTAGTAAGGAGTGGACATACTATCCGTATTGAAAATACACTTAAAAATCACCTTCATTAGCAAATAATATTTGAAATTTGTGTGTGTGTGTGTGTGTGTGTGTGTTTATACATACATACTAAAAGCCCTGCAAGCCCTAAGGGATGACAGCAGCATAATCATACTTCCAGCAGATAAAGGTAATGCCACAGTAGTAATGGATAGAAAAGACTATGAAACAAAATTGACAGACCTACTCCAAGACTCCACATACAAACCCATAAACATGGACCCAACCACATATCTGGAAAAAATAACCAAGAAGAAAATTATAACCAGCCACATGAGCAAAGAGATTCAACAGATGATCATCCCAAGAGAAAAATCTTCTGGATGCCCCAAACTATATGGTGTTCCCAAAATACACATAGAAGGCATACCTCTCAGACCCATAGACAGCTCTAGAGCAGCACCACTACAAAACCGAGCCAAATACCTAGCAAAGCAGCTACAGCCCCATGCTGAAGCAGCAGCTTCACATGTACAAAACTCATACCACCTCTTGGAAATGATCAAAGATCTACACATGGAACAAAAAGATCTGCTTGTAAGTTTTGACGTGGTTTCACTATTCACTCAAGTCCCGATAAAAGAAACCCTAGAAATCATCAAAAATAAATACCAACCACCCAAACACCTCATGGAACTAGCAGAACACTGCTTAACCAACACATATTTCATATACAAAGGACAAAGATACAAGCAAATTGAAGGAGCCCCTTTGAGATCACCACTGTCATCTGTCATTGCAAGCCTGTTCATAGAAGAATTCGAATCCAGAGCCCTAGCCAATACCACCCACAAACCCAAACTATGGCTAAGATACATTGATGACACATTTGTTATTTGACCCCATAGAAAATAAAATAACAAATAACAAATAATAACAAATTTCCTAACACACCTAAACAGCACACACCCAAAAATCAAATTCACCATGGAAATGGAAACAAACAAACAACTACCATTCCTAGATGTACTAATCTACAAAAAAACATATGGTACACTAGGATACACCATATACCAGAAGAAAACGCACAGCAACCTCTACCTCAACGCCCAATCCCACCACCACCCAGCACAGATAAACTCCATGGCCAAAACATTAATTGCCAGAACCAAATGCCTGGCAGACAAGATACACACAATGAACTATGCACCCTGACTAAAGTACTGACAGCCAACGGCTTCCACAAAAGCAAAATCACAGGCCCGATCCACAAAAACACACTGAGACATAATGGAGACCTAGAAGATGAACAGACCTATGGAATAGTGTCCTGCCCTACATAAGAGGCACTACAGACAAAATCAGTAAGATACTACACAGGCATCACATCAAGACTGTCCTCAAAACAGACAGAAAAATAGCAGCCATCCTAAGAAACCCCAAAGGTAAGATTGACCTGGAAAATGAATATGAATATATGAAGTCCCCTGTGTATCATGCCCTGCCACATATATTGGACAGACCAATAGAAGAATAAGTGCAAAAATGCAGTAAAAAAGCTGGAACACACTTCCTCACTAGTCCAACACATGAAAGCAACAGGTCATAGCATCTACTTCAATGGCACCAAAACCCTAGCCACTAAAGAAAACCCCAGCTACAGTATTATCAGAGAAGCCATAGAGATTGAAAAAAGACCTGAAAGCATGAATAGAAGAGATGACTCCACCAGACTGTCAATTATCTGGAAGCCTGCACTCATAAACAAAAAAATCTCCACACCACAAGCCAAGCAAACACCTGGGCATAAACAGACCCCCCTCCCCAATACCTCTAGCTCAAACACACCCCAACCAGGCACCCAGATGAAACCTAGCTTCCTAATAAATGATAGCCGTCCTTTTACCTGAAGCCAAGTTGCACGAAAAGCCTCCAATATAGGAAACACAATGTTGCCAGCCAATCAAAAAATGCTACAAAACAGACAGAAGATATTAGAAACACCAATCAAGCAGAGCACAGCAAACTCCAAGACCAATAAACACAGACCAAGACTCCCAACCAATCAGGTTGAAGAAAAAACCATTCTGGCACAGCGTAGGCTAGCCCCAAATTTAAAACAGAAACGGCTGTGAAGCCTGACTCACAGACGAACACAATACACAAGCCTGATGATGGCAGATGAGATTCTGCCGAAACGTTGCTACAACTTTAAAAGCACAACTATAATGACATGGGAAAATACCCGAACAAAGCTGAATACCATATACATACATACATACATACATACATACATACATACACACACATACACACAAACTCATGAATACTGTATTTATTGATAAAATACAATTAATTACTTTTGTGTTACAATACTATTTTTATGGTAAATGTAGCACTACATTGTTATTGGGCTTGTGTAATTAATAGTATTGTATTTAGTTTGGCCTACTGTTTTAATTTTAGAGAAAGAAAAATAGCCACTGATTTGGGTTTTTCCCAATACATGGTAATTAAAATATTGTCACATCTGACAGATATAGCAACTTACTGATGTTTTGCTGGTATTGTAATAGCAGGTTTAATATAAAATGGTTCATTTAGCTTATGCTACACCTTTAGGGTACAGAGTTCAAACACAAACAACAATAGAAACATGTCAATAGGAAAGGGGCTGAAATGAAAAGATACATTAGCACCTTCTTGAAATATGTATTTATTTTTTAAATGGGATAATGTCAAAAAATGGCAAAAATAATAGACTTATATACCACTTCAAAGTGCTTTACCGTCCTCTCTAAGCAGTTTACAGAGTCAGTATTTAAGCCCAACAATCTGGTTCCTCATTTTACTGACCTTGGAAGGATGGAAAGTTGAATGAACCTTGAACTGGTCAGAATCAAACTGCAGTCAGTCAGCAGAATTAGTTTGCAATACTGCATTCTAATCATCCATTTCACAGAACCCAATCTCCCTACCAATACAGATTTTTTAAAGAAAATAAACAATTGGAAGAGCTGAAGGACTAAGTTAGAGACAAATTATGATAGAGAAAAGCTATCTGTGTGGTTGCTAAGAGTTGACAATGACTTGATGATACATAATCAAACAATCATTTACTACCCATCTAGATATTATGAAAGTTCCTTGCATATTCTCAGGTAATCCTCAATTTGCAACCCTTTAAAGCTACAATGGCTCTGAAAAAAGAGACTGATGACCAGGCCTTGCACATGAGACCATTGCAGCATCCCCAGTGTCACATGATCAAGTTCAAGACATTTCACAATCAGCACATTATTTGATTTACTTATATATCAAACTTATTAACTTCCTATCTCCCTCACAGAGTATTTACAACAATTGCAGCATCCCAGAGTCATATGCTTGCCATTTGTGACCTTCCAAGCCAGCTTCCAACAAGAAAAGTCAGTGGGAGAAGCCATATTGACCATGTGATTCTCTTAACAACTACAGTGGTTCGCTAAACAATTGGGGCAACAAGGGTAGTGAAATTGGACATGACTGACTTAACTCTATTGCTTAGGAATAGAAATTCTTATTCAAATTGTAGTCGTAAGTTCCTGTATCATGGTTCCAAGCCTAGCCAGTAAGGAAAGAGACTGTGCTGTCGGTAGAGAAACTCTCCTTTACCTTTTCTCGACTTGTCATGTTGTGACACAGGTTTAGTCAGCATTACATTCTTCCACCTTCCAGTTGATTATGAGGGCTTGGCATGCCCTGCCCTCTAAGAAGGCTTGTTCCAGCAAAGAATTATGGGCCTTGGACTCCTTAGTTCCATGCCAGCCTCAAATGCTGCTTCTTCTTTCCTCACTCTTCTGTCCCACCCCTCTGTGAGTCCTTTGCAACCCCCAATATCCCTCACCCATCCATGCAGCCCGTGTGACTCCCTCCCCATGCCTACCTTGTGACAACTTTGAAAAGGCACGCAGGGGCGTGGCCTTGATGTTGCCATCTCAGATGTTGACAGACTGCGTCAGGCCTGCCTCTGTTCAAAACCCAAGAGAGAAAACCCCCGACTCCATTGAAGTACAGAAGAGGTACTTTTACTGAGTTTGAAATGATAGCAGCGAAAGCAAGGCAAGATCTGATTTAAAAAGTATGAAAGCTACAGAGTGAAAATTTTCCCAAATCCCTCGCCCCAGGATCCTATGCTGAATGTCCAATCCATGTCCCACATAATGTCATGTGAAGCTCATCTTCAGGTATTTTGCCCAC